GTGACGTGGATGGCACGGGGCCTTCACGAACATGGTCGTGGGCCCATCAACATAACAAATCAACCTATTGAGTCACTTGGTTCAGCCCAAAACTCTAAAAATTGAAACAAATCTTAAAATATATACAACCATATATACATATATATACACATATATACAAAAAGCTTCAAACTTCATCAATGGAGATTTTCAGCATCAAAATAGCTTAGATCTAGCATTTAAAACATGTATTGAACAAATTGAAGCTTGAAATCACAAGAGGTAGGTTCGGATCTTATCGGAGTGAAGAGAAAAGTGGAGATGCGAAGGGGGGTGAGATGCGAGTCAAGATCCAAGAGGAGAGAGAGTGATTCGACACCTGGGATGCTCGCCGGAGTCTTGCCGAAGATAGGGAAGAGTTGGGATGCAGCGGCGAAGGGGAAACGAAGGTCTGAGATCGATTCAAGTTGAATCGATCGAATGACCCTGAATCGATTTTAAAAACATTCCCTTGCCAGTTCGATCGATCGAACTGAATTTCAGATTGATCAAACTGACATCGATCTCTCCTCTTAAGTGACAAAGTATTTTTTTGATTTGTTTTTTTTTTTTTTTTTTTTGGGAAAATAAAAATAATAAAATATATATATTTTTTGAATTTTTGAAATTTAAAACAAAGTCAAAATTGAAAAATTAAGAACAAAGATCGATCTCCCCGAGATCGATCACATAATACCTTCGATCGATCGAAAATGCATAGAATTGAAGAAATGTTCGATCAATGAGACAGAGAGGCTTTTGGATGCAGGTGGATGCAAGTTCAAAATTTTTCTAAGTGTTGGAACTGCAGATCGATCCAAGATGAAGTTGGATCGATCGAAGAAGTTTAGATCGATCTATGAACAAGTTCGAATGATGGGACAGAGAGCTGAAATATGCAGGTTTTGTTCGAACCATTGGACAGAGAGTGATTTGGATGCAGGTTTGATGCAGGTGGGAAGTTTGATCGATTGAACTCATTTTGAGATCGATCGATTAAACTCATTTTGAGATCGATCGAACTTATGAAAAATGCTCAATTTCAACATAAAAGTGCATGCAATCCTAATCACAGTTCCTAGCAATGCATATGAACCCAAAGCCAATATCTAAACTTCGCAAGAAATGAAATTAAAAATAGAAATGAGGGAGGAATAGGGTTTTGACACCCTACGAAATGTCTTGCTAGTCTTTAACGTCTCTAACAAGACGTTGGGCTCTTTTAGCCCGGATCAAATATCTTGTAGTGCATCCCCTCCTTAATGGGGTGATAAGTGCTTTGAACTCCACCCAACAAATGATTCTTTAAGAAACTTATTGGATTAAGTTCAAAAGACGTTTTTTTGTCCTTGGTCAAGACAATCTTTGGGCTTCCACGCCCTTTCACAACAAGATTTTGAGACAAGTTTCTTTGGTTTTAAGGTTGAATATGGACTTTTTGAAACTTTGTTCTCACACAAAAACTCAATTCCTTCACTTTTAAGGTCATAACATTTCTCTACAACATTAATCTCTTCATGTTTGTTAAATGAATTGGGGGTTGGATTAAAAATATTCAATTTTACCTTCATGTGGCCAAATGAAATCTTCATTATCCCCGTCCTACAATTAATGTTGGCATTCGCGGTTGTCAAGAAAGGACGGCCAAGAATAACGGGAATTTGGGTTTTAAGATTTGGAACCGGTTCCGTGACAATGACAACGAAATCAACGGGAAAGAAGAATTTATTAATTTTAATCAAGACATCCTCAATGATACCCCTAGGCTTTTTAATTGATCGGTCGACAAGTTATAAAACCACCGACGTCGGTTTCAAGTCTCCTAAGCCTAATTTGACATATACCGAGTATGGAAGAAGATTAACATTTGCTCCTAGGTCAAGAAGAGCCTGATTAATGATATGATCACCAATGATACATGAAGTAGTAGGTGAGCCGGGGTCCTTAAACTTTGGAAGAGTGTTATGCTACAAAATTGAGCTTACTTGCTCGGTTAAGACCACTTTTCTAGGCGTTTGGCTTTTTTTCTTCCTCTTTTGGGTGCATAAGTCTTTTAAGAACTTGGCATAAGCCGGAATTTGCTTGATTACATCTAAAAGTGGAAGATTGACTTTCACTTGCCTAAACACTTCCATGATTTCATTTACTTTGGCCTTTTGCTTGTCATTTGAAATGGATCCTTTTAAGGCATCCGGAAATAGAGCTTTTGGCTCAAAAACCTTTTCAGAATTTTTCTTTGAAGTCTCTTCAACACAAGAAGTTTTCAAATCATTTTGCAAGTTTTTCTTTTTAAAATCACTTTTCACATCACTTTTCAACATATTCTCATTTATATGGTCATGCACATGCAATGAAGGAGGAATATGATATGAAACGGGGACGGGTGTCAACTTTTGGTTGCACCGATTCACTCTCTTCATTGGACATACCCACTTGGTTGTCCACAATCTTTCCACTTCTCAAGGTAGTCACCGCATTGACATGCTCTATTGTGTGACCTTCCGATGAAGAATGAGTCTCCACAACACATTATTGCTTTTGTGGGGCATTCAAAGGCATTTTTCCTTTCTCTCTAGCATTTAAAGTGCTAGCTATTTGCTCTACTTGAGTTTCTAGCTTAGTAATAGATTGAGAGTGAGAATGAAGTAATTGTGTGTTTGCCTCTAAAGTGCCCAAAGCGGTCAAAACTTTCTCTTCAAAAGCGGGACTTCTAACATTTCCTTGGGAATATGATGGTTGATTAGGAAAATGAGAATTAGAGAATTGGTTTCCTTGTGATTGGTATGATGATCTAAAACCTTGGGAACCTTGGCTTTGTAGTGAAGGTGGAATGTATTTCCCTTGAAAACCATCTTGGGAAGGGTTTAAGCCCTCCCCTTGGCTTTTCCAAGAGAAATTCGGGTGATTCCTCCAACTAGGATTGTAATGATTGCCATAAGGATTGTTCCCTTGATTAGCAAAAACAACATTTGCTTGTTCATGATGCTCACTTTGCATATGTCCATGGGGACAATTGGAAGTAGAATGTAAAACACTTGAATAAGTCATACATGTCTCATTAGATGCACGATGAGAATGGTTAGGGAAGGAAGATACTTGATTCGCCGAGTTTTGGTTGATCAAAAATTAATCAAACCTATGAGATAATGATTTCATTTCGGCGGAAATTTCATTGGAGTGGTCGACTTGATGTAAGCCAACACTCTTCCTACCACTAGAATTTCTACCATTTTTTGAATAAAAGGTACGATGCAAAGAATTTTCACTCATGCTCTCATAAAGACGCCACACGTCATCCTCATGCCTATCAATGTAAGAGCCACCCATAGAAGCATCAACCATGCCCTTGTAATTATCCGATAAGCTCTCAAAGAAATATTGAACTAATTGCCATTTGGGCATGTCATGATGTGGACACTTCCTAAGCAATTCATTAAAGCTTTCCTATGCCTCATGAAATGTTTCCCCATCCCCATGTGAAAATTCCCTAATTGAAGTTCTCATGGCATTGGTCTTAGAAACCGGATAGTACTTCTTTAAGAACTCTTGTTGCATTTCTGCCCAAGAAGTTATTGAAAAAGGCCTAAGATTGTTAAACCAATATTTTGCCTTGTCTTTAAGGGTGAATGAAAAAAGTTTAAGCCTTAAGACCTCTTTCGGCATGTCCGTATATTTTACGGTGGAACATACTTCAAGAAACTCATCCAAATGCTTGTAAGGTTCTTTACTTGGAAGTCCACGATAGTTAGGAAGCATTTGAATGGTTTGTGGTTTGATTTCATAGTGGTGTGCTCTAAATGGTGGCAATTGAATGCATGTAGGTGCATTATATTCATTAGGCACATAGTGATCTCTTAAAGCAAGGGGAGAATTAGCAATTGGAGGTGCAACATGGGCACCTTGGTTACCTTGAATGATGGGAGGTGGTGGAGCATAGATTGGCCTTGGCATTCCTAATGGAACTTGGCTTTGTTGTTGTGGTAGATGAATGAATGACCTTGACATGCCTAATAGAACTTGCATGTTATCATGATGCACATTGGGGTGGAGGATACCTTGTTGGTCTATGTGACCAAGGTCCTCCACATGGTCTTCATTGTGTCCTTCCATTGATAAAATGGATTGACTAGAACTACCTCTTCCCCTAGGGTTTCGAACAATGGATTCAAGATGAAAATTTAAAGGGACAAGAGTGGGTCTCAATGATCTACGACCATGCATGCACAATGCAACACAACAAGAAATAATGACAAACACTTCACCTTCACAACAAGTCAATAATCAACAAACTTTCTCCACGTGCAATGTTCCCATACTCCCATGATTTAACAACAATATGCAAGAAAAGTAAATTGCCTCCATGTGGGCTCACAATTTTTTAAATGGTGAGTCTATACAAAAATGAAAATACTTTGACGCAAAATATGATATCTCATGAAATTGATCTTTATTTGGGCTAAATTTTTTATATGTTATGCTTCATATGTAAATGAATAAGTATGAAAATTTTCTTACAAATATACAGAGTTTTTTAAAAAAATAAGATTTATGGAGGTTTTTTGCACAAATATTATATTTTTAAAATCCTTATTTCATAAATTTTCGTGCATATATTATTTATAATTTTTAAACAAACTATTTGTGATATATAAATTTTTAAAATTTGAGAAAATTAAGATTTGAGTACTTTTTACAATTTATATGCATTTCTTTCTTTTTTTACTATTTATTTTTTAATTTTTAATGCAGAGAGGCGAAAATGGCACTCCAAAACTCATGGAGAGACTAATCCAGTTATGGAGGCAGATGCACAATTTATACACTTAATATTGGCTAAATATAATGTGTGTATTACTACTTATTTTTTAGCTTAAAATATGCTCAATTTAAAGAATAGTTGATGAAAACTATGGGCAAGAAGTCAACAGACCCTCTAAAATAAAGGTGAGTCAGCACAAAATTGAATAAGACAATCAGGGCTAATAAAGCAAGTGAAAAACAAATGACTGGTCTGATTCGGCAACGCTGGCAAAAGATTGGCGACGTCAACGGGCCCTTCAACCCCATTTCCTTCTTGGTGTGGTCATTACTCCCTCTCTAGGTTCTGTGACCCAGATTTTCTCTTTTTCTCTCATTCTGCGATTAGGATTACCATTAATCTGACGAGTATTGCTCTATTTTTTACTCCCTAAATTGACTTCAATTTCTTTGTTAGGGTTTTGGTTCGGCAAAAGGGGGTTTTGAGTTTTTTTTTTTTTGGATCGATCGATCATATGCACATCCCATGAATCATCATCATCAAGATCTGAAGAACAACAAGAAGAAGAAGACTCAAAAAAAGTAAATCTTGATCGAAATGAGCGCGTCGAGGTTCATAAAGTGCGTGACTGTCGGTGATGGAGCTGTGGGCAAAACCTGCATGCTGATTTCCTACACTAGCAACACATTCCCTTCGGTGAGAGTTCAACAACTTCGAATGAATCCATTAGCATTTCATTGAGTTTGATCATGTAGTAACTCTCTGCTTTTCAAATATGGTACTACTTAAAAGGAAATTTTCTTTTTTCTGATTTCTTTTGAATGTTCTTTATAATCTCTTTATTCTTCTTCTTCTGGTTTATAATAGTGTAAATGGTTTAAACAAATAAACTAGTTGTTTGTCATGCTAAATTTTTGAAGTTGTTCAGATACTTGTATGGTCTCATAGGTGAATCATGGCTGGTCAATAATATTATATCTTTTTATTGTTGGATAAATTATCAAAAAAGAGAATTTTTTTTTTGTGCAACTAGATTTTCCTATGTCGATTGGAATTAGATACTTCAATATTGGTTCAGTTCTTGGCCTAAAACCACTTCTGCTATTGGTCTTTCTCAAATAGTACTTTGAAATATTAAAAAGTTTTTTTTTTTGGTACGCAAGTAATAAATGCATTATTATGTGCACAACTTGGTGCAATTCATTTCCTTTGCGGGTATTACGATTGATTGAATAAATTTTTATTTATTTTTTATTTTTTTATTTTTATTTTATTTTATTTTTGTTATATGGAACGAATTTGTTTTCATATTTATTGAATTCCATTTATAACTAAACTCGCAACACACATATTGAAGATGTTCCAGATGTTAGGGTGCTTTTTAATTTGACGGTGTGGTGCTTTCGTATCCTTCATTCATTTTTTTTTTTTTTTTGTGTCTTGGTATTAGATACTTTTAAGCATTTGGAATAAAGATATATTTGTTACTGGTTCTTGAAGAGTCTTTCAATAGAAGATAGTATAATCAAACTAGCAATAAAGTAGAATAAGATGAAGAAGAGATGGAAGAGGAGGAGAGAAAAAAGAGAGAAAGATGGGGAAAGAGAGAAAGAATGAAATAATACTTCCGTCCTTCCACCACATTGTATTTTTATTAAGAAGTTTCATAAATTACACATAAGCCTCCAACATTATATAAGCAATAGCAAATAAGCGCCTGTCAACACTCCCCCCTTAAGTTGATGCAAAGATATATATCATGCGCAACTTGACTAACATATTTTACAAGCAAGTCTTGGTGTCTTGCTCAAACACTTAGTAAAAACATCAGTAACTTGATCAAGTGTGTTGACATATAGAGTTCAAATCAGCCCAAGACGAAGCTTTTCCTTGATGAAGTGCCGATCAACTTCGATGTGCTTTGTCCTGTTATGTTGAACTGGATTGTGGGCAATGCTAATAGCTACCTTGTTGTCACAATACAAATTCATTGACTCGCGAACATGATAACCCAATTCATTCAACATAGTTCGTAGCCATGACAACTCACAAATTCCATGTGCCATGGATCTGAGCTCCCTTCGACAAATGTGCAATATCCTGTAGTAGATCGTCGATTTGTCATAGACCCTGCCCAATCAGCATCTGTATAGGCTTTAACGCGCAAGTGGCCATGACGGCTAAACAATATCCCCTTACCAGGTGAACCCTCGAGGTAGTGAAGAACATGATGAGTTGCCTCGAGATGAGGTGTCCGTGGATTATGCATAAACTGACAAATCACACTAACAGCGTAGGCAATATCCGGACGTGTGAGAGATAGGTAAATCAGTCTCCCAACCAATCCCTGAAATCTTCCCACATCATCTAATGGGTCGCCGCCATCCACATCATTAAGCCTATGGTTTTGCTCAATGGGAATATCAATAGGTTTAGCTCCAAGCGTACCGGTTTCAGCCAACAAATTTAACACATACTTCCGTTGAGAAATGAATACCCCTTTCTTGGATCTGCACACCTCGATGCCAAGAAAATATCTCAATGGTCCTACGTCTTTAACCTCAAACTCTGTCCCCAAGAATGTCTTCATTCGATGAAAATCTTTTGGATCATTTCCAGTGATAACAATATCAGCAACATATACAATAAGGACAGTAGTGCGGTCTTGGTGCTTCTTGATAAAGAGAGTATGATCTACCAGACTCTGTGTGTACCCCACTCTCTTCATAGCAGTGCTGAACCTCTCAAACCAAGCACGCGGTGACTGCTTTAACCTATTCAAGGCTTTATTCAGCTTGCACACTAAATTCTGATCATTGGCAAGCTTAAACCCTGGTTGCATAGTCATATATACCTCTTCCTCCAAGTCACCACAAAGGAAAACATTCTTTACATCCAGCTCATGTAAGGCCAAGACAAATTAGTTGCCAAAGAAAGAAGGACACGTATAGAGTTTATCTTGGCAACTGGAGCAAATGTTTGCTGATAATTAATCCCATAGGTCTGAGTGAAGCCCTTTGCAACTAATCAGGTCTTATATCTCTTAATTGTTCCATCTGCATGATACTTTATTGTGTAGACCCATTTGCAGCCTACTTGTTTCTTACCCCTAGGCAATGAAACAATATCCTAAGTACCATTCTTCTCAAGAGCCTTCATTTCCTCGAGCATGGCTTCCTTCCATGGAGTTTGATTTAGAGCATCTGAAATATTGGAAGGAACAGAAATAGATGAGATAGAGGAAGTGAAAGCACGATATGTTGGAGATAAGGCATCATAGGATACAATTTGAGATATAGGATGTTTTGTACAACTACGAACACCCTTACGAAAGGCAATAGGGACATCAAGATCAACATGAATGCTATTGGGAAAAGAATTAGGAGTATTGAGGGATTAACTTGATCGAGGGAGACTTCTTGGTCCTGGGGTGAGTCAATGACTTGTTTTGCCCTCCTAGTATAGACAATTGGTTGCTTTCCTGCTGCAAATCATTAGTGTTAGGAGAAGTAGACACAGGCACCTCGGTGAGAAGATCCCCCTGAATGGGAACACGCAATAGAAGAGACATTCCCTCTGAGTAGAAGACGGATTCTCTACATGAATAGTAGTCTCCCCTTGTAGAGAATCCCGAGCACGGGAAAAAAATGGAACAAACTCGAAGAATGTTACATCCATGGAGATGAACCGATGACGAGTGATAGGGTTATAACACCGATACCCCTTCTGAGTGGCAGAGTATCCAAGAAAGACACAATGGATTGCTTTAGGGTCCATTTTGTCCTTGCGATGATTAATGTGAACATAACAAACACAACCAAACACTTTCGGAGGGGCAGTAAACAAGGCAGTGCCATGGTGTAGACAAAGAAGGGTGATTTATAGCCAAGAACCCTAGAAGGCATGCGATTGATAAGGTATGCAGCCCTTAAGGCTGCATCAACGCAATAACTTTTAGGCACTCCCATCCCAATTAGAAGAGAACGGGTCACCTCCATAATATGACGATGTTTTCTTTCAGCTTCACCGTTCTGTTGTGGTGTATCAACACATGAGGTTTGATGGATAATCCCGTTATCAGCAAAAAAGGAGGCAAGACTACCATACATAAACTCTCCTCCATTATCAGATTGAAGGATTTTGAGGGGACAGCCAAACTGAGTACATGTCATCTTGTGAAAGGTTTTAAAGATGGAATGAACTTTATCTTTGGTTTTCATAAGATAAAGCCAAGTATAATGACTAAAGTCATCAACAAACATAACAAAGTAGTGAAAACCAAGTAAAGAAGTAGTGGATTCAGGACCCCACTCATCAGAATGAAGAAGCTACAAAGGAGTTGTACTTTTATTAATACTAGTAGGATAAGAAGCACGACATTGTTTGGCAAGAACACATGTTTCACAATTTAATTCAAAAGATTCAACAGAAGCAAATGGGGAAGTATATGCTTCAAAAAAGGAATAGGTAAATGACCGAGTCTATTATGCCATCACATCAACAGATCTTTATTGACATTACTATTCCTAATACTAGATTGATTTGCAACATAATAAGAAGTTGGTCTTTCGTCTAGCAAATACAATTCAAGCCTTTTGTAATGTGACTGATAAAAAGGAGATTATTGGTAAACTTTGGGACATAATTAGGAGAGGTAGAAATAGTGCCCTTCCCCGCAATAGAGGAGAAGGTGCCATCAACCACTCTAACCTTATCCCTACCCGAACATAAAGTGTACAAAGAGAAATCAGATGCCATACCAGTCACGTGATTAGTGGCTTCTGAATCAATGATCTAGGGTGTCCCACCAGATAATGTGGACACATGGTGTGCTAAATGAGAGGCACTGAGCAAAGTTAGAGGTGGATATGGAAGCATTTTGAGCTATCAACTTCAACCCCGGACAAGGAGCTCGGTGACCCTGAGAAGGCATGACTAATAGAAGCAGTCTCTTGCGTTACAGTATGTGCCGTAGATAACCCCCTAAATGGACCAGGGCCTAGGCCTAGCATTCACATGAACAGGAGCTAGAGTAAGGCGACCGTGTAGATTCCAGCATGTTTCCTTGGTGTGGCGCGTATGCCCACAGTGATCACACCTTAACTTGCTCTTATCATCCTGCTTCCCTCGTTTTGGAGGATTGGATTTGTTCCATTGTTGTGTTGCAAGAGCAGACTTTTCAGACAATGGTACTTCTGGTTTAGGCTTAGTGTATACAGGTGCAGACATAGCCTTCATTCTACTGTCCTCAGCCTGGATATATGAAAACACATCTCTAACAGACGTAGGGGCTGGATACTTGCCTAGCACTTGTACCTTGGCATGCTTGTATTTTGGATGCAGACCACCCAAGAACTCATAGATTCGATTCCTTTCTACCATAGCCCGAAATGCTTTAATATCAGCTACACACACGGTTATGTAGTTTTGGTAATGATCTAACTCTTCCCATTTACCACGAGTGTGGTAATATGTAGCAAGAGTTTGATCTTCTTGCTTGAATCTTGAAATCTCTTGTTGGAGCTCATACAGTTTTGCAAAATTACAAACAGAGGAATTCGTCTCTTCCACAACCTTCTATAGCTCTTTAGTTGTTTTCACAAACAGAAACCCCTTGCTGATTTGTGGTTGCATTGATTGCAACAACCACGTCTTAACTAATGCATTATGTGCACTCCACTCTTTGAATTCAGGATCACTCTTGGAGGGATATGTGACAGTCCCTTCGATATGGTCGATCATCCTCTGACCAGTGATGTGCATACGAGTAGATTGAGCCCACTTTATATAGTTTGTCTCATCTAGCCCAATAGTTGTAATACAAAGGCTTGGACGGTGATCACTACTACTTCCCAATACTGGAGTCAGACTAGGAGAAGACCCAGCTTCTTTTGAAGTCAGCTTTGAGCTAGACATTTTATCAAATAGTTTCTGGGTATACACTCCTCAGAAATAAAACAACAAAATATGTAGAGAACCACCTCTCTAACACATAAACAACTGCAACTAGAGAGATTACCGTCTTCTGAGATGCATAAAAAAGCGACCACATAGTCACCACACAAACCCTAGAAAGCAACAAAAGGGACCATACCAAAATCGTGATTGAGGAAGGAAAAGCCGCTATTGTAGAACCACGTGAACGGGAAAAAAAAACCACCGATCATGTGGATGTGATTAATAGTACTTCCTTGCAAACAAATCCCATCTTGGAATCTCTTCAAAACCCTTCACACCCACTAGGGTTTATACAGATAGTTCAAAGTTGACACACTGGCACTTCTATGTTTGGCTAGCGCCACAATTTGGGAAACCTGGAGTTTTTCTAGATTAAGACATTGTTATTGCCTGTTTGGTTTTGCTTCTTAAAAAGGGTTCTCATTTTAGAGGAAAAAAATAAAGTAAATAAAATTAGTAAATTCGGTTAGTTGTGTTTTGTTGGAAACATAGTTAAAAAAAATAAGAATAAATAAATTAGAGATAACACTTACTCTGATCTCTTAAAATTGTTTTTTTCTTTTCAGAAACTGTTCTTAAAGAATAGAAACAAACATTATCATTGTTTGTTGAGATTCTTTATTCTTTATGAAAATTTTGTTACCAAATGTCATTCACAAATTGTTGTGCTATAAGCCATTGAATTTCTATCAACATTGTTGGTTCTTGATAAATGTAATCGGGAAGAAAAAATGTTAGACTTCTCGGTTCTTATCTGTTCTTGTTTATTGTTCTGACCATTGTAATGGGAAACAGGATTATGTGCCGACTGTTTTCGACAATTTCAGTGCAAATGTGGTTGTGGATGGGAGCACCATCAACCTAGGGCTATGGGATACTGCTGGTAACGCTTTAGCCTTCTGTTTTTGAAACTGATATTCCTATATGTCTTGACACTTCCTTGTTTAGGGTCTAACTTTATTGACACCATGCAACAATAGGTCAGGAGGACTACAATAGATTAAGACCTCTAAGCTATCGTGGAGCAGATGTCTTTCTTCTTGCTTTTTCTCTCATTAGCAAGGCCAGTTATGAAAACGTTGCAAAGAAGGTTAGGACCCTTGAATACTGTCCTATATTCTTGGGCAATACCTTTTGTTACTCTCTCTTATGGTGGGGGTGACATCTTGTTTGTTCTTATACTTCAATTTCAGTGGATACCTGAATTGAGACATTATGCACCTGGTGTTCCAATAATTCTTGTTGGAACAAAGCTTGGTAAGAACTTCTTATCCCACCAAGATTATCTGGTCTTGTTTTGGCAATTCTATTTATCAGCTTACAAGTGAGTCTTAGTAGACATTTCGAAAGGATTTATGTTTTATAGTGCCATGTCAATTGGATAGTTTATAATTGTGCTGACCTTAGTAGATATCTGACATGGTTCTCTAGTTGAAGTTTAACTTCGTTTTCAATTAGTAGTTGAAGGATACATAGCCGTTTTTATGTAAATCCTAACACGATTTGCTATTTAGCCTACAAGTTGATGAGAAAGTCTCTTTTTGGCTTGTTAGCTATAGTTAATGAGCTTGTTATTATGGTATATGATCTCAAGAAGATTTTTAGGTTAAAAGTAATTCATGACTATATAACCATAAATAAAGCTATGATTTAACAAACCCCCCCCCCCCCCCCCCCCCAAAACACCCACACACCCCCCACCCACACACACCGAGAGAGAGAGAGAAAGTTATGATTTACTTAGCCCTCTACACATCTTTTGCTGCCAAGTGTCCAATATGATCATTAGTAAGTAGAAGCTTCCAGGATGTGAAGGTGACCTCATAAATATTAGTTCCAGTTACCGCATTCTAATTGTAAGTGTGAGTTGTGCGCTTGACTATAATTATATCATTTAAATTAGAAAGTTTAATAAAGTGCAATGTTATTATTATTTTAAATCTTCATTAAAGTTGACATTCTGAACAGTTGTTTCTATATAATGTCTAAGGTCCATATCTTAACATGCTTTTTTATTCATCAGCCCCTGACTATGGGTATGAAGGGGTGACTGCGTGATTGTAGTCCAAGTCTCAGAGGCTTAATAGTACACTAAAAATCCCAAACTAGGCATAGAAAAGAGAATTGGTATTCCGAATGGCTTTGTGCATCATCTTATACTCAGTTAATTAATCACCTTAGACTTGCGGACTAAATTGTCTTTGAACTGTAGACTAATTAGGAAATTTGATAGAGTTTTAATTAGAAACTATCTTGGACTCGGGATTAGGCTGGTTAGTATCCTAAGGGCTTTGTGCATCATCTTATACTCTTACATTGAACAACAAAGACTGCTTTGGGGTTCACCATTGTGATACATTAACATATACTCAACTACTATTATTATTATTTTAATTTTTCGTAACTACGCAACTTTATTTTGATAAGTAATATTTCATTAAAAAGGCCCTCGAAAGGGGAGCGCTCCCAAGAGAATACCCAAAAGAGCCGAAAGAGGCCAACTATAATTTCAAACTATCAACAAAATCCACAAATTCCCCCATAGATTTACAATTCCGCCCATTGACCAAAAATAAGAGAACTCAATATATTGCATTTGAGAGACCAAGTAACTACTCCACTGTTACTAATTGTCTGTATTCCTTGGCTAGTTTTGGGGCTTCATATTCACCCTTTTCAGTTTTATGAATGGTATTTGATTATTTGACCTTTTTTTTTTTCCTTCTTTTTTCTGGTGGGCAAGTAATAAATAATAATTTGTATAGATTGGAAAAATATGAATAAGCTAAGGGAGGCATATGCCCCTTAATACAAGCTTGAAATCCATAACAAAAATAGCTAAACCCAAACAAGGCTTGCCAGAGCAAGAACAGCTAAACAATCAAACAAGAAAAATCTGAAAACAAAATACTAGAAATATAGGATCAAAATCCTCTTTGGCGCAACAGTATATCTGTCCCAGCCGGTGAGAATAGTTTGGGATATACGTTACGGAAATGTTGGGACATTGGCCTTGCGCATCCCAACTTTCTTCTTACCGACATCCCAACATTTTTCTAACGTGAATCCCAACATTTTCGTAACGTGTATCTCAAATTATCCTCACTTGCTGGGACATATCTACTGTTGCCCCACAGAGGATTTTTATCCAAAAATATATGCAGAGAAGGCAAAATCAACAGGGGTCTGAACAGCAGAGAAGAAAACTTAATCGAATCATATGTGCCAGTCAGCTCTTCAAATCCTATTCTGTCTAATTAGATGTCACTGAAACAAAGTGATTCTGTTCTGTCTCTCTTTCAATTCTCAGAATAGAGTTCTCCTGTCTCACCTAATATGGTGTCCTTATGTCCCCAGATATAGTTTCATCTAATGGTCAGCTATTAGGCAAAGACTTGGAACCCAAGACAAGCTTTTTAAGTTATGGTACAACTTCTTCTATTATTTATTTATTTTTGAATCACATGGAGGTACATGACCACCTGTTCTTCAGATGTTCCTTTCCTATCAGACACTGGACAACTTTGCTCCAAAAATGTGGCTAACAAATTATCACATCCACTTCAACTGTTGGAATGAGCATTCTTTCAAAGGCAAATCTCTTGAGGCTGCCACCCTTGAGCTTTGCTTGTTCTCCTCAGAAATCCTATCTTTTTGTTACCAGAAAAATCCAAACTAAAGAATTTGTGTCTCACTTGATCATTAGTCGCTGAGAGATTAGAAATATATCTTCACTTGACAGAAAGAAAACGGGCTTTCATTCGATCTTGACCCTTGTAGAGCGAAAGGAAGGCTAGACTGGATCTGCACACACCCCTGATAATATCCATAAATGACTTGTGTTTGGTAAGAGGCTAAGAGCTGAACATTACCATATGCAAATAATCCGAGTTTGTAAGTTCCTCAGCTTGGAGGGTGGAATATGTTAGCATGGTGCAAATTCCCTCCTTTTGTGGATGTTATTGTACTATCATGTTTTTGGGGAAAGAAGGTGGGGTGCTAGTGTTGGTAATTCCAAATCTAATGTATTATAAGCTGTTATTTGTACTTGTCACTTTGACCTAGGGTATTGGTGCTGACATGACAGCATGGACACGGGTGTGACATGACTCTTTGTCTTAACTGGTGAAGAAGATGAAGAGAAGGCGCCAAAAAAATGGATTACTAACCTTTTCTTGTTATTCAACCGACAGTGATGTTGAAATGGTTAATCAGAATTCATCTGTTGTGACTATGTCTGTGAAGTCATGAAAAGTTGTTGGAATCACATTAAGGACGTCTTTTTGCTGATGGAGACATTAGATCTCATCGTTGGCTGATGGCCCGTAATGAAAGTTTAAGAGCTGTACATGTTCTTTGTATTTTAAATGATATATATTTTACTTATCAAAAAAAAAAAAAAAATTATATAAATTATAATTTGAGCTCATCTTCACATAATTACAAAATTCTCTCATGAAGATAGTTATTTTTTTTTGGAAATTCATGAAAATAGTTACTCTTATTCAAAATTTTGTGTATGTTTTTTTCATTTGTACCCCTCGTCTTAATTTACTTTTAACACTTTGTCACACTTGTTTCAAGAAATCTTCACCACTTTAGCCATGTCCACTTATTCCAAATTTTAGGAATTAGAAGGATTTGATGCTTAGACAAGTACCTGTATCTGACAGTTGTACTGAGTCCAAATAACATAGGTTATACGGCTTACTTTTTTTTCTTTTTTTTTTTTATTTCTTTCTCCATGATTAAAGGGCTAACCCAGAGCACGAGGCTTCCACCATTTCGGGGTTTGGGGAGGGTCAAATGTACGCAGTCTTGCTTCGTAAGGAGATGCTGTTTCCGGATTCGAACCCATGACCAGTGGAGCAACCTTACCGTTGCTTCTAGGCTCATATTTTTCTCTATGATTGCTAAAGCATAAATGGGGGCAGTTATGCAAAGATTGATCCAAGGTCTGAATTGTTCAGTAAACAAAGGAGATCAAGAGTGTCAAGAATGAGATTTTATTTTACAGAATAAAAGCTTTATGAAGATCAAGTCTAATGGCACATGTTGAAGGGCCTTGATCTGTGTGATTATTACTCTTAAATACCTCCTCAGCTATGAGAATGTTGTCACTAATGCTACCATGAATAAAAGTAGATTGCGGCTTCGAAAATGAGAGAAGGAAGAACTTCTTTAATTTTGGTGGCTAAGATCTTGAATGTGCACTGTAAATGGTGTTGGATCAACAGCTCCACTTCTCTTCTTGTTTTACCTTATGCTGGCAACCTTCTCCGCTTCATAACTAGATGGGTGTTGTTTAGATTGACTAATGTCTTACAAATTTGACTTTGTAAGTTCTTCAGCTTGGAGAGAGTGGAATCTGTTAGCACTTATCAAAAAAAAAGAAAAAAGAAAAAAAAAAAGAGAGTGGAATCTGTTAGTATGGTGCAAACTCCCTCCTTTTGTGGATGCTATTGTCAAGTTTCTTTGGGGAAGAGATAGGAGTGCTAATCTTGGTTTCCAAAGTCTAGGGAGGTATGAGATATGCTACCTAGACTTGACACCTTGACCTGGGAACCAATGTCGATACAACGCAATATAGACACGGGAGCGACACAGCTTTTCATCAGTGGAGGAGGAGGAAGAGGAAAAGGAAGAAAGGGTTTAAAAAAATAAAAGGAATACAACCTTTTCTTATGATTTTGCTTCGATTGAGCTTGTGAGGATGTTGAAATGGTTAATTGGAATTCTCCTGCGATTATGTCTGCGAGAGTCACGAAAATTCACTGGAATCACGTCGAGGACCTAACGGTGCTGGTTGAGACATTACAGTTTCATTGTTCGCTGACAGCACAAAATGCTAGGAAGCAGAGGCACTTCTACGGTGTCGCGCTGGTATCGGACACGTGTTGGATATGGCTCGAAGTGTCCTAACATTTAAATATTTTATTTCTTGGTTGGACATGGTTGGGACACGACAAGGACACGTTTTGGACACTTTCAAGACATGACGGGATGGTTCTGTAATTTTTCTTAGAAGAATAAGATTCAATGCAATTTACTTATAAAAAAAAAAAAAAAAAAAAAAAAAAAAAAAAAAAAAAAAAAAAAAGATTCAATACAATTTAAAAGATTTATGGATTAATTAGAACTTAAGTAAACAAAAATAACAAACATCTAGCTCTAAGCTTCAAATTCATGATTTCATTCATGATTATATGGGTAAAGTGAGGAAAAATATCTATTTATATATAATAATAATATGTTAT